CCTCTTGGGGTGTGGGTGGGCAAGCTTCCTTGAGGGAGGTAACGCCTTACGAAGCCTGACAGGATGAATGGGTGACTGTCAGGCGGTGGTGGGAGTGGGGCTGTGGGGGGCCATTCGGGGAGAGGGTGTGAGCGTGGTCCAGAGACACACAACAGCCGGGCTTCCGGAGTGGCCTGGGAGGGAGGCTCTGAGTGGTGACAGAGAGGGCGATGGTCTCCTGTGAGAGATGAAACTGGTCAGCATGGCGTCTGATCTGCTAGGCCCTGAAAGCTGGGGCCTGGAACGCCTTGCCGAGGAGTTTGGCCTTTGTCTTGAAAATCCGTCTGCTTTAGACCTTGCCCTGAGAGGCCTGAGAGAGGTGTTCTCGGGTTTTTCTGCGCTCACTGAAACAGTTCTGCTTTATTGGTTGTGTTTGGTCTCACTGCCAGATTTCTTTGGGAGAGAAGATTTCTTGGCCAGGAAAAAAAAAATTAGTAATCCTCTGCTGTAGGTGGTGGGGGCGATGAAAGTCTTTGAGCAGGGCTGTGACTCAGTCAGACCACAGTCTGGTGGCTCAGAGGTTGGGTTGACCTGGGCGGGGTTGGAGGCGAGGGGATGGGTAATGTCACTCGAATTCTGGCCCTTAATCTCCCACCTGCAAAGTGCGATTCTGTTTGTGTTCAGTCGTTGGACACGTCTACTTTGAAGGTATCTGGCCCCATTTCCCACCTCCTCCTGCTCCACTGAGCTAAGAGAACAGCTTAGAATTAATATTTAAATTTTGTTCTCTTTTAGACTGATTGAGGAGTTGAAGCTGTCTTTGAAGAGCAAAGAAGCTTTAATTCAGTGCCTTAAAGAGGAGAAATCTCAGATGGCATCTCCTGATGAAAACGTGTCATCTGGAGAGCCCCGAGGACTCTCTGCCGCTCTGAGGGGAGACGGGGAGAGAGAGGCTGAGGTGAGGCGCTGGGACATGGAGAGGGGACTTTAATTAGCGACCAGACTCCTCTGTGGGAAACGGAACGGCCTTTCTGTATATTAGCTCCCTGTCAGCTGAGGAATTATCAGAAACTTCCTTTGTCGGGGGCCCTGGCATCTTTTTTCCTTCCAGCCTTGTGTTCATATAGAGTTGGTTAAAAAAATAGTCCACACCTGCCTGCCTCTGTTTTACCATGTGTTAATTTGTTGTTGCCTGGGGACTTTATTTTCATCCATCGGGTTTTTTTTAGGATGAAATTGTGGGCCATACGTGTCTGGCCTCTGTAGTTAGAGACAGGCCTGAGGCCAACTTTGGTCTGAAACTTCAGAGACGGGTGTCGGGGGATGGCGGGGGGGGGAAGGGAAGTAACTTACATTGGGCCTGGCAGCACTTGAAGGGGGTCAGCGTGCTCCTCAGTTAATCCTGGCCACCTTGCGGGGCAGAGGTCATGGTCCCCTTGTGAGTATAGAAATGCACTCAGAGGAGTCGTATTTTCTTAGGCTTCAGGAGCTGGACGCTAGTACCAGCCCCCAAAGCCTCCCTGGACCCCAGCCCCACACGAGGTGGCCTTCACGGCAGGCTGTTTTGAGGAGGGTGGGCAGGCCCAGGGGTGCGGGTGGGCCTAGGGGAGGCCTTCCGGTTCTGACTGGAACCCGGGTGGCTGTAGCATGTGGTTGGTTCACGCCAGGGGACTTCCGATGTTTCTGGCGAGTCTTGATCTCTTCACAGAGCAGGGTCTGCTCTGTCCCGACCATAGCCATGAACCCTCTGGCCTCACCAGTTAGTTTTTTTTTTGGCTAGGGGGAGAGGTAATTAGGTTTGTTTGTTTGTTTGTTTATTTTAATCGGGGTACTGGGGATGGAGCCCAGGACCTCGTACGTGCGAGGCATGCGCTCTACCGCTGAGCTATACCCTCCCGCCACCTGTAATCAGCCCTCATCTGCCCCTCCTGACCCCTCCTGGCTCCCCGGGCCCCGGGCTTTTGTAGGCCCCTGGCACAGTCCCAGCTTCTTGGCTCACTCTGCGGGGTCGGTGGTCAGGCAGGGTGGGTTGCTTGTCTTTACATTGTCCCGCACTGGGGTGGGACTCCAGGTGAGACAGGAGGGGTGGACGCTGGCTTCCATGAGTTCCTCATCTGCGGGGAACCGAAAGTAAACGAAGTGCCCATTCTGATTGTCCTGGGGGAGCTACTGGATTGTGGGTCCCTTCTGGGCACCAATGAATACCTTTTCTTAGGCTGCACGAATGGAGCGCCAGAAGGAGAGAAACCGCTTTGAGGAGAGGATCCAGGTATGTTGATACAATTTTTAAAAATGGGTTGAGGATTTATCCTTGCTTCTTGCTTTCTTCTGAGTGCACTAGATGGTTCCCTGTGAGTCCGTGTGACAATGGTTGTCACTCATTGTGTGCTCCTGTCTGCCAGTCAAGCTCTAGGCATGTTGGAAGGGGTTTCTGAATCTTTGTGATAACTCTGAGAAGTCGGCATTCCCATTTTGCAGATGTAATGCGTGAGGCTCAGAGAGGTGAGGTCCTGTACCCAAGGTCACGTAGCTCGGAAGAGGTGTAGCAAGGATGCAGACCTGCCAGTCTGATTGCAAAGCTGCTGCTCCAGGGTCCCCTGGTCACAGCAGCTGGCATTTGTGTGGCGCCTGCCAGCTTAGAAAGCACTTCCACGTCCATTATCTCATTTGATCCTCACAACAGCCCAGGAGGGAAGCAGCGGTGATTATCTTTAGAAATGAACTCAGGCTATGAACATATATATTCAGTCTCCATCAAACAGAATTCTCTGCTAGCTTTTGTAGCATTAAGGAATGAAATTAATGATCTGTTATTTCCCCCAAATAACCTGGTACGGTTTCAAAGGCTCTGATGTGACTGTATTCAAATTCCAGAAGGCATTGGAGTCCTTCCCATAGGAATAGCTGTCATCTTCTTAACTGATCTGAGCCCCTTCCTGCACCCAGCCCTGTTGCCGTGAGCGGTAACACAGTAACTTGGAGCCGACGCTGCTGCGTTCAGCTCTGCTTGGAAACATTAATCACAGGTTGACAGGAGGAAGATAGAATAACCGCTTTTGAGTGTGCTCTTAAAGATATATTTACAGTGCATTTTGGTTAGAACGCATCAACTTAGTGAATCTTTTTTCTAATCTAATTTAGGCACTTCAGGAGGACCTGAGAGAGAAGGAAAGAGAAATTGCTACAGAAAAGAAAAACAGTTTAAAGAGGGATAAAGCCATTCAGGGCCTAACCATGGCATTAAAGTCAAAGGAAAAAGAGGTATGTCTGATACAGCTGAAGTGAGATTTTTCTCTATTAGCTTCTGTGACTGGCCTGTCCTGCCCTGAATTTTTAGCTTTAGATGAAGAGTTTATAAGGGAGCCGAGACGAGACCAGCAGTGGGGAGAGGGCCCTGCAGTCAGTTAGAAGTCCCTTTGGGGTATCTAACCCAGCGCTGTCCAGTGTGAATGGGATGTGAGTTACTCTTGTAATTTCAAAATCTCTAGTAGCCACATTAAAAGAAATAAAAAGAAACAGGTGAAATTAACTTCAATAATAAATATATGCCAAATGTTATTATTTCAGTCAATAAACAAAAATAATAATGAGGGATTTAACATTTTTAAAATCTGACTTTTGTCCTGGAAGTCCAGATACGCTTGCAGCACATCTCAGGTCAGACAGACCACGTTTCAAATGCTCAGTAGCCAGAGGTGGCTAGTGGCTACCATATTGGACAATGTGGGTCTAGTCTTTTGAAAGACAACAGAACACTGAGATAGCGGAGTTTGGGGAGGCAGAACCAAGACTGTGACATCTCACCTGAATGGTCCACACACTCCTCAGAGTCAGTACTCTGGAAACAGACTCATCACCTCCATCGCCAGCCCCATCTCACCGTTATACTCCGTTTTCTCTACTTTTGTATGAGTCGGTGGCACCCTCCTGTCCCTAGTCATGCCAGCCAGAAGTCACCCTTGACTTCTGCCACCTGGCTTGTTGCCTTTGGATCCAAGGTGGTGGCTGATGGTTCCTTATGGTTTTCCTTTTGTGAGTAGCGATCTGTTCTGTCTCAGTAACTGCCAGGCGCGGATGCGGAGAGGAAAGCGCAGCTCTGCTTACAGGTCTGGTGGGGAGAGGAGACAGTGGAGGTGCTGTAACTGAGGGAAGCGCAGGGGGCTGTGGCCGCGGAGGGGAGGGAGCCTGGTCCAGATTGGGTTGTGGATGATGGAGGGGAGTGCTTCTTTGAGGAGAAGCTGAGCTGAATCTTAAAGGATGACTAAGAGTTAGCTGGGGAGGGAGGCAGAGACTAGGAGGCCATTTTGGGCATAGGGGAGGACACTGGTCACGGTACTACGTTAGGAAGGAGCCCCATGTGTGTTTGTGGAAACAAAACAGTTAGAGCTTGTCAGAGCATCCAGTGCAGAAGCTAAGTGAGATGGGGGAAGCAGCTGGCGGGTGGCACGGGGCCCTGGTGCTGGGGAGCACAGCACGCCCAGCTGCTCTGTGCCGTGCCGTGCTGTGCCGTGCCGTGCCGTGCAGCCTCTTAAGCAGGAGGGGCGTGATCACATCTGCTGGGGAGAGAGGTCTGTGGCTGAATCTGGGAAATGGGTGGGGGGAGGGAGGGAACGGCGGCGGGGAGGCCAGTAGCTGAGCTGAAAGCCCTCTAGTTCAGAGAAGACAGAATGGAGGTGTAGGGCTTATTCAAGAAGTGAAGTTCGAATAACTGAAAATGAGAAGTAAATCTGGGGAAATTTGGTGGTTAGATGTAGGCCTGGAGAGAGGGAGCAGTCAAGGGTGACTTCTGACTGGCATGACTGAGACACGAGGGGGCCACCAACTCAGACAACAACAGAGAGAATGGAGTATGGTGGAGGGGTGGGACTGGTGATGAAGGTGATGAGTCTGTTTAGAAAGTACCGACTTTTAGGAGCCCAGGGACTGCTCAGGTGAGATGTCCAGGAGGCAGACAGATAAGCGAGTCTACAGCTTGGAGAGGACTCCGGCTTGAGGGGGTAGAGCTGAGAGTCAGTCCTGTACAGATGCGAGTGAAAATTCTGAGAGTTGGTCTCCTTATCCGAGGAGAGCGTGGGGTGGGAAAGAAGAGGGTGAGGATGGGACGGCAGGGGACAGCACCAAGTCAGGAATAGGGAGGGGGGGCTTGAAGGGGACGGGGATGGGTGGCTGCAGGAGCGGACGCCAGCCAGGAGTCTGTGGGCTTGAGGAAGCCAGAGGAGACAGGGGTTGGAGAAACCAACACTGTTGGCTGCAGCAGAAACTCGGTTCATAACAGTGGGCGTGATTTGTGTCATGTGCTGGGAGTTCGGGGCCCAGCTGAAGTCGGAGACCTCTGGTATGTAGCGCACCGGTGGTGGGACAGCCCTGCAGAGTGTGGCCAGAGGGGTTCCTGGCTGATTCTGGGCTGGAGAAGAAGGTCACTGGGGGATGAGGAGTTCTGGGAATAGCCAGGCTAGGTGGTTGGGTGGGTCATCCCTGTGGACAATCATCGTAACAGTTAGTGTGAGCCGGGCGGTATTTTAGGGCCGGGACACGCCATACAATCCTGTAGTTGGGTGAGTGGTCACGTCCTCGTCTTATAGTTGAGGGAATTAAGTCTCAAAGAGATTCAGTGCCTGGCCTGAGGTCATCCAGCTCCTAAACAGCCAAACTTGAAATCCCCCTTTTCTGACTACAAAGCCCTGGGTTATAAGCACCATCCAGTGCAGCAGGAACAGCATTTGGGCTGTGCGCCGAGAGCCCAGGTGCATTCCCGGCTGCCGTTCCTTATTTTCACCCAGATTGAAGAACTTAACTCTGAAATCAAAGAGCTCAGTGCTGCCGCTGCTAAAGCCAGAGAGGCCCCCCAGAAAGCACAGACCCAGAAGGTCCAGGTAAGCGTTTGCTTTGGTCGAAGTGACTCTCTCTTTGATTCTTACTCCTGGTGAGGTCAGGACTTCGCTGCTGAAAGGAACCAAGGAGAGCTCTGCGTGGTCTCGAGTAACAGAATTTGCTCCGTCTAATTAAAGGAGCTTCTCCAACAGCTTTGGGGGCTTCTCCGGCCCCGTCCTCAATATGACAGTGACAATGACGACAGCTACGCCCACGGTGAGGAGTGCTGAGCTTCCGCTGTGCCAAGAGTAGACTGTAAACTGTGTGGATTATCTCATTTAATCCTCAGTCCTGTGGGGAAGGTCATTTTCATCCCCTTTGTACTTGTGGGGGTTTTGAAGTTCAGCAAGGGTGTGCAGTTTCTTCACTGTCACACAGCTTGCAAATGGCAGGGCCCGGATTGAAATGTAAATTATTGCTAATAATCACGGCTGGCATTTACGGAACACAGACCACGTGCCGAGCCCTGTGCTGAGTGCTCTCTGTGGATCAGCCCAGTGAATCATGCAACAGCTCCACGAAGTAGGCACTGTGAATATCCTTGTTTACTGTGAGGAAGTCCGGGTTCAGAGATTCAAGTCTCTTGCTTAGGGTCACAGAAGTGGTGAGTGGAGGAGCACAGATGTGACCCCAGACTCAGTCTCACTCCCAGGCCCGTGCTTTTCCCCATCGCCCCCTACCTCACCTCGCCTGGCTGCACATACTCTGCCCCCCAACTTTCTATTCTAGGCCTTGGTTAGATGCCCCGCCTTTTCTCTTTTTCCCCCTCCGCAGTTGTCCTGCAAGGACTCCTGCTGGTCATCCCCTCCCATCTCCCCTCTCTCTTGCTAATTATAGTTAAGTGTTTTTAATTATTCTAACATTTCCTTCCCACGTTTCTAGTGTCCCTGTACAGTGTATACCTGTTACTGATAACTAATGAATCAAGGAAGCTCTGTCATCTGATTATGTCTGTAGTGCCTTAAAGCTCCTCCCTCCCACCTCCTCCACCCCTGCTGTTTTTGGTTATTAAGCAGAGGTTAGGAGTTAAATCGAATTGAAGACTGTTTGGTTCCTAAGATTCATATCCCAGGCCTTATCTTTTGCAGAGCTTCGGTTCCCAATAAGAGTAATCGAAGTAATTTGGTGTAAGTCATGGTGCCCGTGAAGCATAGACAAATCTTGTGTTCTGGACTCTCAGACTTTCCTTCCTCCACTGTTTAGACAGCAGCTGATGAAATGGAGCTGAGATTACACTTTACACTGAGTTTTTTTTCCACCCCCCTTGCTTAGAAAATAATAAGCTTTTAAAAATTGAACTCTTAGGAAAACCATTCATATTTCCCATTCCTTGAGAAAAAAATATATGTTGGCAATAGATGAGCAGAGGGGCCAGATATCTTTACAAGTGTGATATTTTTCTTGTTGAGCCTTGAAGGAAAGAAAGGAGTCTTCTACGTTTAAATGTTACCTAGACTTACTATGTACATTTATTAATTTCATAACCCTCATTCCTGGCTGAAAGGCTTTCACAGTGATTTTTTTCTCAGTTGATTTTTTTGAAGAATTGAATTATAATCAATTACAATGTTCAATTTCTGGTGTACAGCACAATGTCCCAGTCATGCAAATACATACATGTAGTCATGTTCATATTCTTTTTCATTAAAGGTTACCACAAGATGTTGAATGTAGTTCCCTGTACAGAGTGGTTTTTGAGGTCTTGTAATTTACTCTGTCGGCCGGGTTTCTCATCTTGCAGTGTATGGAGACCAGGGATGGTTGAAATTCCTCAGGTCCACATGCCGTATTCGCTGTTCAGAGAGCGCTCGTTTACTCCTTACCCACGGAGGTAGAGTGCTTCCCTGTTTGACAGGTTGCCAGAACTTGAACTCAAGTCTGACTCCAAAGTCTGTGTTCTTTTCTCCAGTCTGATTATGCATGTGAGTAAGTACACACCATTTGCTTATATTGGCTAATTCACTAAGAAGTATGTGTAGTTTGAAGGTTGCACGGACACTTGAGAATGCATTGTCTTCCACGTCCTGGGACCTTTTGGGGATGTCACATGATTTGAATGTTTGCGGCCTGAGTAGAAGAGCCAGGGCTCACCAGGTTGGCATCAAGCTTGACAGGGAGGCAGCGCAAGTGGATTTCAGACTCTCAGGGCCATTGCCACTTGCAGGATGGGAATTCCAGTCACAGGTGTGACTCCGGGAAGGTTACAGCACGGGCTGGCTGTGCTACTTCTGTGTAGCACAGTGTATTTTCAAATTAGAAGTAACATTATTTCTTTTCTCGCCCCTACCTGCCTATAAAAGTAAAATTGCACATTGTAGCAACTTTATAGAATATTTAAAATGGATAAAAATGGTGATAAAAGTCACCAATAAACTCACATGTAAAGATGTTCTCTGTAAACACCTTGACTCTTGACTGTCTCTCTCTCTCTCTATATATATACATATATACAAGCACATAACCTTTAAAAAATTAAATAGGATCATAATATGTATTTTGTTCTGTAATTTTTTTTTAAATCTAACATTCTTGGCATGGCAGTATATATATAGATCTATCTAAACTTAAAAAAAATAATTTTAAGATCATTGTCGATTCACAGGCAGTGGATGTCTGTATACTCTTTACTTAGTTCTCCCAAAGTTAGCATCTTGCATGACTGTAGGTTAATACTGGAACCAGGACATTGATGCAGTCCATTGACCTTATTCAGATTTCAGCAGTTTGACATGCATGTGTGTGTGTGTGTGTGTGTCTGTGTCTGTGTGCTTTTTTTTTTTTTTACAGTATTTTACAGCTGCATATAGTCCATTGTATGTGTGTATCATATTATTTTTACTGGGAAGAGCATGGCAGTGGGCATGGCTTTGAGTCCTGACTCTGCTTCACTAACTTGTGTAACCTCGGGCAAGATGTTTGAGCTCTCCCAGCCTGCTTGTACATCGTAAAATCCAGATAGTCACACTTACGTCACAGAATCCTTACAAGGATTAAGCAAGAAAGTGTATCTGGGCACAGCTAGTAAGTAACCCAATAAATGTTAACCCATCCTTAAGTTGGGTGGTGTAATCTTCTGGCGTAAAAATACAGTATTTACTTTGGTCTGTTTTTCAAATTCTCAGTTGATGGTGTTATACATGTAATTTTTGGTTTGGGGAAACACTCCATGTTATCACTTGATTGGGAATGAAAGATAATAGAGTCAGTGACGGAAAAGGGGACCTAGATTTCTTTATCCTGCACCTCCTAAACAGTACTTTATGTGCCATATTTAATCTTCACAATGACCCTGTGAAATAAAGATCATTCCTTTCACAGATAAGGAAGCTGAGCCTCAAAGAAGGTGACTTTTCCCAAGTCACACAGCTAGAACTGGTCTTTGAACTCTGGGCTGTCTCTCTTTTTTATTAAACTCAACATGTTTCTACACTGTGGGGAAGAACGATTTGTTTAATATTTTATTTGGGTTTTAGTTTATGACCGTGTCTGATTGGGCCAAATATTTGCCGCCTGGTTGTAAGCACTGGACTGATGAAGTAGAATTCAAAATGCAGGGTGTTGTGCAGAAAGAGGTAAAAGACCCTCCAAAGAAGTTTTTCGAAAAGCCATTTAAGGAAAATTTAACACGGGAAGTATTTTTATGAAGTGAATCGAATGTATGAATTTGAATTCTTTGAGTTTAGATTTTTAAAGAGGCTTTGTCATCCTTATTTATGTGATAATCCTGCAGAACCTTCATCACTTTATCATAACTATTATTTTAATAATAACCATGGCTGTCCTATGTTTAACAAGCTCCTAACTGGTGTTCCTGTCTCTCGCCTCCCCTCCTTGAATAGTCTTCTGTATTACAGTTTTAATTTTTGGTCGTTTATTGGTGTTAATTGAAATCTTCCCTGAAATGGGCAAGGCAGAACAGTGCTGTGCAAAGAACACAGGTTCTGGGGTCGGTTGAATCCCAGATTTAATCACTAGTCATTTAACAGGTCTGAGCCTCAGTTACTTTCAGAGGGATAATAATGTGTGCTTTGTAGGGCTGGTGTGAGAAATAGAGAGGTAATAGTGTAAAAGCACCTGGTTAGCTCATATATAATCAGTGCTTAATAAAGGGAACTATGAAAATTGTTCAAGGTGAGCATTTCCCCAAATCATTGTTTATCTCCTTTTCTTTTTTGAGTTTATTTAAATAAGCACTGCCCAGATACTTTTTTTGGGGGGGGCCTGTGACCTAGGTTTCCCATTTCTTTTTATTTATTTTAATTTTAAAGGAAATGAAGACAGAAGTGTCTATAAAACCTACTTTGGAATTTGAATGGTGTTTGTTCTCCATCAGTCTCTGTTGCTGTGACCTGAATAATAGTTGGGGAAACACGGGACCAGATGGCTGGGCTGCGGGGCCCCAGGAGCGGAGAGGTGGCCACCTCCTGGTCAGCTGTGGCTGTGGCCCAGCTCTGCCGAACGACTAAGACGTAACTGTCGATGGGGGCATGGATGGGTTTCTGGAAAGGCCCGGAAGCTGGGGCCAATTCTTTCACTCCACAGCCTGAGTTGTGACCTTGACAGCTCAGGCATCCCTTGCTGTTAAGTTTTTAATCTTGTCCTCAAGCTCATTCAAAGGACATATTTTTTAAAAAGTTTATTTTCTCCTGATTGTAAGTATTATATATATATGCTTCATTTTTTTCCCCCCAGAAGACTAGAAGGAAGGAAAAAAAAGGGAAATGAGGAAATCACCCAGCCACTATAATCATTTTGGTATTTTTTTCCTTCTAGGCTTTCCCCTAAACATAGCTTTTATTTTTTAGATCATTTACAGTTTGATTTTCTATTTTTTACTGTAACATTGTGACTTAGAAATGTTCCCTCAGCTCTTTGTGAAAATTATTTTAAGATTTTATTCTGTGGCTTTGCCATACTTTATTCGTTTTCATATTCTTGCACATTTAGGTTGTTTCTTAATTTTTTACTGTTCTAAGTTGATT